TGATGCCCTTGCGGAGAGGGAAAGTTGTGTTGCGGCACTTAGGGAAAAAAGGATTTGGAGTCTCGACTATTTTGTTGTCTCGTGTAAGTTGCTGTTTTTTTAAGGAAAATTATGCAAGCCAAATAATAACAGGTGAAAGCCTCATATTTAATATAGATTCAAATTTCCATTTAGGAGTTGGGTTAATCCACAGATTTGGTGACTTTGATGCAAGTTCTTTAACTTTTGTGCCACATAGAATTAGTTTCCTTTTTAAAATTTTCTGATGTAATATAGATTCAAATTCCCATTTAGGAGTTGGGTTAATCCACGGATTTGGTGACTTTGATGAAAGTTCTTTAACTTTTGTGCCACATAGAATTAGTTTCCTTTTTAAAATTTTTTGATGTAATCTTTTTTATTATTTATTTTAAAAATATTTTTTTGTACCAATTATATCCCATATGACTTGAATTGGATAATAGTGATTTATGTCTTAATAATTAGCCATTTTCAACTTGTGGCATTGAATTAAATAATGACGTAAAGGCCAATCTTTGGATGAAGTGGACTCCATTTTTATGTAAGACATTTACAACTCCAGAGTTGACGTGGCACATGGGTATCGGACTACGAGTTTAGTTGAACATCCACAGTTGGGGGTGTAAATTCGGGGGTGTAAAGCCACTTTTACATCCACTTTACACTTTCGGGGGATGTAAATACGTTTTTTGCTCCAATGGGAAAAGATGTAAAAATATATGTAAAGCCACTTTTTCTTCATTTTTCTTCTCTTTTCTCGGGTGAGTCTCGCCTGCAAAAGATGTAAAAATATATGTAAATGTACATTTTATTTTACATATTCATGGTGATGATGTATATTTACAATTCTTTACATCTCCCCATTGAAGACGATTCCGGTGATAAAAGGTGTATATTTAACATATACCCCCATATACATCCTCCCATTATGGATGCTCTTAACCCTTATTTTCATTAGATTGAAAGTAGGTAAATAACAAAATTGCGGCTCGTATTTTGGAGTTGGGCTTAGAAAAAGACCAACCTTTTACTTCTGCCCCACTACGATGAGACAAAGAGTTCGAAAACCTCACTGGCCGTCAATGGCGGACCTGTGCAGGCACAAGGAGGTGCACCTGCACCTCCGGTCGCTGGAAAACTCCATTACAGCTGCTGGAGTTGCACCTCTGCTCACGCACGGAACCTGTTCGATGAAATGCGCAAGTGAACTTGAGCTGCTACGTTGCTGGGCTGCTGCGCGCTGTGCGCATCGCGTGACCTTCTATTTTTTTTAACGAAGCCTAGCCAAAACGACGTCGTTTTGGACCAGGCGCTGCTTTTAAAAAAATAATAATAAACTTGGCCAAAACGACGTCGTTTTGGACCAGGGTTTTTATATATAAAAAAAAGTTTAAAAAAGGGAAACTGCTGGGCCATTCGTTGGCTTCTAAAATGGCTTTATAATTCTTACCTAATTTGGTTTTAATTGGGATTTCTCTTTATTCAATGGGGTTTTGGGAATTCTTTATTTAAATGGGATTGGGAATTCTCTTTATAAAAACCAATTTAACATCACCCATTTTCATCAAAGTGTGTGTGCACCTGCGTTTTTTTTTTTCCTTCTTGAGTATGTCAATCCAAAGTAAGTCATATGCATATTTTTATTTTTTTTAGTAAACGCCAATTTTGTTTATTCTTTTTTTTTTTTGTTAATAATTTTTTTTTCTTATTTAGCTCTCTCTGTATTAGTAAGAACAATAGCAAACTTAAGGGGGAAGAGGCTACGTGACATGCTATTCGAGGTATAATTAATTTTTATTTATTTAATTGATAATTTGATATTGATTTGTTTATTTAATTGATAAATTATAGTCAATTAGTCATAGTTATAGATATAAAACCCTTAAGAGAAAGAGTTCAGATCCTCCTTCAAATAATCCGTTTAGTTCCAACCTTCCTTCAAATAATCCGGCTAGTTCACATCCTCTCTTGTGATCATTTTTCTTGTATCAGTAATGCAAATATAATGCGACGTTTTCATGATATGAAACCTCGTCGGCAACAAATGTAGTTAATTGTAATGTTATTTTTTTCAATTAATTATGAATAACATTAGTGTTGTTTAAATTATAAGGATATTTAGTTGTCTTTTTTTTTGTTTTTTTTTTTTTGAGCTTTTAGCATTTTAAAATTGCACCTCCGCTGAAAAATTCCTGGGTCCGCCGCTGGGTATAATAGGACTCAACTACCTATTCGACAGGTAACTCCTCATGGTTTTCAGTTTTGTTGGACACTTTTCATGCTATGCTATGTTGATCTACATTCCTGTATTTTGGTTTCTCAATTTCGCTTTGAAATAAATAAGTTTTCTTTAAACCCTATTCAAGAGGATAACATAATATTTGTGAAAGGTTTTAGCTCTTGCGTGAGCCACATTTTAATTTGTTACTACTTTAACAAGGTGAACCTTAATGAAAACAAACCATGTTGGTGTGTTGCATTGTTTTGTTCCTCGGTCATAGGTAACCCTTTTTAATATAGGTAATTATGCTACCTAGTGGACAGGTAACTCCTTATATATGGTTCTTTATATAGAAGAAAACTTAATCTGCGCAGGTTGCTCTGTAATCATGTATTCGGATATTCTCATTCTCGTTGTGTGATAAGTTTTCTTTGTACGCTTTCAAAATTGGAGAACATAATATCTGGGAAAGAGATTGCATATATCATTTAAACTGCAAATAAACTATAATTCAATGTAGTTTCGGACCTTCAAATCTGAATTGTTTTCAACAAAGTAAAATGAAGCAAGCAAAGAAACGTCATACTAACAGCAACTGGCCATTGCTTTAACACTCAATTCTGATAATTCAACACTCAAAGAAACGTCCTGTTGTGTTGCTGCTTTAACAAACCTTGTAAGACAACTGAAATTAATGCAGCAGATAGAAACGCCTCTTCAACCCATTCCACCCGGAAGCTATGATCTCAACCATCTACAAGCTTCTCTCTATCCCTGCAATAGGTAAGTTGACGACTTCACATCAAACAAAAACGCAAAAACAGAATATATATGTAACACAATATATATTGTTACAATCAAAACCAAGAAATTAAAAATACCTGTACGTAAGGCGCTGCAACTGTCTGCCAAAGACCTAATCCGGGCTCCCATAATTTGTATACCCAACACAATCTCCATTAATCAAGCAAGAAATCAGCATGGATTGGGATGTGTCGCTTCTGTTTTCCTTTTGTTGTATAATGGCACTGGAAGTAATTATGCTAAAAAAGAAGGCCAAACGCATTGAATTGATGTCCTGCCTCCACTATATCTTAATGAAATTGGACCTATATCTAAGAAGCCCTTGATATATCGTCCCAATCCAGTTTGATCTCTGCCCGATTTTTTTCTTTCATATTGCACTATTCTGGAGTCTCTATAGATATTAGAATGACCAATTAATGCTTTTTTAAACCCTTGTTTCTTCTTTTGTTCTACAGTTCACATCTTCTAGCTAGACAACAAACGGTCATTGCTACTTATTTTCATTTGATATGATGACATTCCAAACCTATGCTTTGCAGGAAAGCTTTCATCAGTAACAAAGAAAGTGCAGAACAGTATTCTACTCTAGATACCAGTATTCTACTATAGATACTACATAATCATGAAATGGCTGCTGTCCCAAAATCTGAAGAATACAAACAGAGTTATTCAACCTTGTAGTAATTAGGGCCAAATCCAGGCAGTAGCTTCCTGTATGAAAATCTGTCATATCCAGATGTAACAGGCCGACAAATTATATAGTCATCTTCATCATATATGAGTTGGTAGTTTAGAGCAACTCTTTGCCATCAGCAGCTCTAAGAGAGCCCAGTTGAACAGGTGCTTGGGTTCCCACTACTTTTGATGACCCATAGACTGACAAATTCATGCCTTGAGCCTTCTCTTTCTCTAACTGTTCCTTTATCCATAAGTATGTAATTCTCAGTACATCCTGTTAAAAGCAGAGTTAAACACGCATTAGTTCATTCAGTAGAAGTGGGATTCAGTCAAGAAAACAAATCACTCCTCAAAAATTATACCTTAAACTTCATGGTAGGAGCCCAGCCAAGCTTCTCCTTATTAATCAGAGTGTTGCCTGAGTTTCGACTGCGAGCACCCTCAGAGCCAGGGATATGGTGGATGGGGAGCTCCTTGTTTTCAAAGCTTAGGACTATCTCAGCCATCTCATCACTTCCACTATTTACTGGCTCCCGGAAGTCAGAATTGTGGGTGCTCTACTTGGCTTTTCCAGACACGCATTTATGCCAAACTATATTTGGCCATGTGTGGCTTACTGTATGAGTTTGATGTTGCCAATACTTGGCTTCACCAGCTTCCTCATGGACCAACTAAACCTGAGTTGATATATTTTCTAAAGGATGTTATATCCTATCCTATCCTCCTACTTATGGAACGTGCCAAATACACGCCAATGGGCTGGAAGACACAATGAGAAAAACTGAACGAGATATTTCTTCAAATACAATATTAATACCAAACTTATGATTTGCAGGAAAGCTTTCATCAGCAAAACGAAATTGCAGAACAGTATAATGTTTCATGTTCAGGATACTAAATGATGGCAGCTGTCCGAAAAGCTGAAGAACACAAGCAGAATTATTCAACCTTGAAATAATTAATTAGGACCAAGTCCATGCAGTAGCTTCCTGTATGAAATCTATCATATCCAGATGTTCCCATATATGTAGAATTTGATAAGAGTTCAAAACAAAATTGCAGACTAGGTAAACGGGTGAAGAGCGACCTAGAGACTCTCCCCTCTTATTATACTGATTTGGCATAAATGAAAAGCTATGCTGATAAGAGTTAAAACTGCAGACTGACAAACTAGCTAACACTGTTACAATAATGAAAAAAGGATCATTACGTACAAAGATCACATAGATCATAAGCAAATATTCAGATCTTTTTTTTTTGTTTTTTGCTTCGACTACCAGAGCTTGAAAGGCTTCACGATGCTTGAAATTTTCCTCATCTTAGAGCTTGAAGTTTTCCTCTTCTTAGAGCTTGACGTTTTCCTCTTGTTAGAGCTCTTAGCAATAACAGGATCGCCATCAAGAAGACAAAGGCTCCCCCAACAGACGGTTGTTAAGTAATAACGCAAAGGAAGCAGACCACTAATTTCAACTTGTTTGACACTCTTTTTCTCCAAATCATACCAAGAAAGCCTACTGTATTCGTTGCCCAGCATTTCCAAAAGAACCATTTCGCCATTCTTTGAAAAAGCCAAAGGCTTCACACAAACATTCGGTTGCCTGTCAATAGAATAAAGCAGGCTCCACGATTCTGTCTCTCCAAATTCCTTCATAATCCAAACATCCCTTCGAGACCTGAAATTAAGACAAATACACAGATAGTCTCCCAAGATCTTTAAGTCCGGCATATAACGATCTTCAATGTTATCCACTGGGATGGGAAACACCCGATATTTCTCACTCGCAAGATCAAGGGTTACGATTTTGCACTGAGGATCTAATAACTCGCCACACATCAGCCAACCTAGAGCACCATTGAGAAACACGATGTCACAAAAACCTACTGAGAAGACATAATAACCACTGGAAGGAATGTCCTGGATCCTTTTCCATGAGTTGGCTTTTAGGCTATAAACCCTAACTTGATGACTCACAACAATGTCTTCCTCATTAGCAAGCTCCACAATCTGCACTAGTTTATAGTCATCATTGGTTGAATCGTACCCGAATCCGTAGTCTAATTCTGGTGGTGGCAGCTGGGCGTACGGTTCGGGAATCTTCTTCAACTTTTGAATTGACGGGTTCCACAAAGCAATACCCCCTTCCATATAGTTGCGTAGGCAAACCAGACCATTGGCGTAGCCAACTATATCCCATGAGTATTTTGACGGCATCGGACTCCCGAGTTTCGTGGCTGTCCCGAGCATCTCATCGTTGTCAAAAGGCAATGAAAGGAAATCTAAGGTATAATTAGTACGACGATTATGGAATAAAATGTTGCGAGTAGAGTTGGTTTTGATGGAGAGTTGAAGATGCGCTTTGATGAAGTCTTGGTTGTGGATCAAAGCATACCAAGCTTTGGAAACACACGTGTATCGGATCAAATCCTTCGACTCAAGCCGTGAAAGGATGTCAAAGATTAGCTCCTGTGGGATGTTTGACATGGTTGAAACTAGAAAGGTTGGGTTTAGGGTTTGAGGTTCTGGGATCTGGTAGCTAAAGTTTTATGTTCATTGATAAAATATGACGCATAATTAAATCCTAGTAATCCTAGGAAACCCCAAGGTTTCAAATATTCTTGCTTAACAAGTAAGTTAGGAGTCATAAAAACTGTTATATCGAGGAATCGATATTCTATTAGATTACCTATTCTAATATTAAAAACAAACAGGCAAGGGGCTTGTTGCCCATTCGAGGATTGATTGGATGGCGAGAAAATGAGGGAAAGTTTATGTTGCTCTTCTTTTAGGAAAATTATGACAACCAAATAAAAACAGGTGAAAGCCCCATAGATTGCAGTTTGAACTTTGCCCCATTTTTGTCTTTCATAATGCACTATGCTGGAGTCTCGTGTATTTTGTTGTCTAACATCACTTTATTCACACAAGTATGGATATTAGAATGACCAATATGCATACTTGAGCTTTTAAACCCTTGTTTCTTCTTTTGTTCAAGAGATCGCATCTTCTAGCTGGACAACAAACACTCATCGCTACTAATTGTCATTGATATAATGACATTCCAAACCTATGATTTGATCGAAAACTTTCATCAGATTATTCTATCCTAGATACTACATATTCATGAAATGGCTGCTGTTCGAAAAGCTGAAGAATAATTAAGACCAAATCCATGCAGTTGCTTTATGTATGAAAATCTGCCATATCCAGACATACTGGGTAAGCAAATTATATAGTCATCTTCATCATATATGTATTGGTAGTTTAGAGCAACTCTTTCCCATCAGCAGCTCTAAGAGAGCCCAGTTGAACAGGTGCTTGGGTTCCCACTACTTTTGATGACCCATAACCTGACAAATTCATGCCTTGAGCCTTCTCTTTCTCTAACTGTTCCTTAATCCAAAAGTATGTAATTCTCAATCCATCCTATTAAAATCAGAGTTAAACACACATTAGTTCATTCAGTAGAAGTGAGATTCAGTCAAGAAAACAAATCACTCCTGAAAAATTGCACCTTCAACTTCATGGTAGGGGCCCAGCCAAGCTTCTCCTTAATCAGAGTGTTGTCTGAGTTTCGTCCACGAACACCCTCAGGGCCAGGGATATGATGGATGGGGAGCTTCTGGTTCTCAAAGCTTAGGACTATCTCAGCCATCTCATTCATGCTAACCATCTCATCACTTCCAATATTTACCGGCTCCCGGAAGTCAGACTTTGTCAATCTGAATGCATTTGAATGTCAAATCAGTATGCATCCATTATCCCTTTTCAAAATCCGACTTATTAATTTTCAAATGAAGCTTAAAAAGCAGTTATTTTTCCTATGATGGAGGGATTGATAGAAGAGTATTACAATTTCCACAGTAAACTAAACATTAAACCAATTGATGCGCAATGAAAGCAACAGAATCTTGAGTGCCACAAGATATCAAATTGTAGCAACAAATGTTTTCATTTGAAGGAATCCATTATCCCTTTTCAAAATCCAACTTATTGATTTTCAAATGAAGCTTAAAAAGCAGTTATTTTTCCTATGATGGAGGGATTGATAGAAGAGTACTACAATTTCCACAGTAAACTAAACATTAAACCAATAGATGTGCAATGAAAGCAACAGAATCTTGAGTGCCACAAAATATCAAATTGTAGCAACAAATGTTTTCATTTGAAGGCAGTATTACCTTAGGACACCTTCTACACATTCATCAATGAAGGTGAAAGACCGCGTTTGTAGCCCATCTCCCCACATCTCAAACTTATCAGTGGAAGTGAGGGTTTTTCGACAAAAAGCAGCAGGGGCCTTCTCTCTACCACCTGCAAAACAGATCACAAACAATATGCAACAATGAATATGCCAAAATACATAAATATGCAGTGTGCATCAAGTCATAACAGAACTCACAACTGGAGGCTGACCTTTCCAAGTTCCAAAGGGTCCATAAATATTGTGGAACCGCCCGATCCGACACTCAATACCAAAATCCTTATTATAGTGCTTGCATAATTCTTCAGTCATGAGCTTCTCCAAGCCATAAGCATCTTGAGGCTATTACACAAGCAAAGGAATTCAAAAATGATGAAAACACATTTCATAATTAACATATTTGAATGCAAAGAACTCAGCAGAAACCTCCGCAGGCCAAGCATCAGACTCCTTCAAGCTCACATTACTAGTGTCCAACTGTTTAAATTCAGGGTAAATGCAAGCACTAGATGCATAAAAGAACCTGCAAACCATGATGAGAAATCGAGTTAGCAGATATTCAACCAGCAAAAAAAAAAACAGAATTTTGAAATCATATGTGATATCGTGAAGAAAAAAAGACTTCAAAAACAGAATAAACAGATAAAAGAACCATTTCAGTTGTTTTGTAAAATTTTAAAAAAAAACGAAGTGGAAGGTATTTAGGTGACTAGTGTGGATCAATAGACCCTTAAACATTGCTGAAACCAAGTGGAATAAGTTAACTGAAATGTCTTAAAACAGATAACAAATCCAAGGCAAAACAAACCTCTTAACTCCATTGATCCTCGCTGCCTCGAGCATGTTAAAGCTGATCATTGTGTTGTTATACATAATGACGGAATGGTTGGACTGAATAAAACCCATACCTCCCATGTCAGCAGCAAGGTTGAACACATGGTCAACACCAGAAGTGACCTTCAAACAGTTATCCATCACCCTCAGATCAACAAGATGGAACTCATTACAAAACATGTCCCCTGTCATGTGTTCATTTTTCTTCCAGTCAGAAGCAATAATGTAGTGACCTTCACTCTTCAGTCGCCTGGCAATATGCGAAGCAATGAAACCACCAGCCCCCGTTATGGAAACCCGAAGCTTTTCGGAAGGCCAGTACTGTTCCCTCTCCAGGTTCTCATATGTGTATTCACCGTATTTACTTCCCCCAGTAGTTCCCATTCTGCAACAATAAACATAACAAAAAAAGGTGAAGAGTTTGTAGTGAACACTTTTCAGCATCTATGATTAATTAAGCATTTTAACATCTAAACAAATCGAATAAGTGCCTTGCCAATGAAGTTTCTTATTGTTAAAAGGGTGCAATCTAAAATTAATGCCGAGGTTGGTTTAAAGGAAGAAGAACAGATACTGCTTAAAATTCAATTAAGGGTTGATAATGTAGGAATGCTACTTTCAGATACTGCTTACATTTTCTTATAATCTTATCTACACATTCCCGGCAAACATAACAGGGTACACAAAACCTGTATGTTAATTGAAAAACATTCACATAACTCCATGCCACAGCATCACTTTAAAACACTCACTGCGGAATAATAAAACAAATGAATTTTTAAATAAACAGCAGAAAATCAAAATTAGTGAAACAGAGCATCCTCAACCCTCATGAAACAAGGAAATAAAGACAACCCAATAATCAAAATAACCTGAAATCACAATACTTGCATAAAGTAAAACATGCCCAGAAGCAAAATTATCGAACTGGAGGCAGACGAGACGATGAATGGAAAAGGCCGTAAAAAAAAGAAAGAGATCAAAGCAAAACCAGCACGCCCAGAAATTATTTTCAACCAAAATAGTTTATTACGAAAGCAGCACGCCCAGAAATTATTTTCAATCAAAATAGTTGATTACGAACCTTGCAAGCTGAGAGATGTAATAAGATGATGATATTGCAGTGTGAACGAGAGTTTGGAAGATTTCGAATAGAATTCCAGCAGGAATGCCCAGTACTATAAATAGAAGTGAACAAAAGCAAGCTCAAGCGTCCTCCTTGTAAAATTCTAATGCTATTTAGTTTTCCATATTTATCTAATTTATCAGGCTTCCTATTTTTATGGAAAACAAATTAGTGAGGACTGACACACTTTATGCAGTTGTTGGACTTTATTGTTTTTCTTTTTTCTTTGGAAGAGTGTAAAATCTATATCTATGCTCCCTTCAAGATTAAGGTCATTATCGAAATGGAACTCGGGAGGATTTCAATTTTATCAATATAAAACCCAAGATTTTTAAATCTAACCAAATTATGCTCGATGTATTTAATCTTATAACTTTTTTCTTTGGACAAGCGACATTAAAAAAAAAGATTCAAAGAGAGGACCTGGAGCGCAAGGGGATTAACCTTAGTCACATTTTACGCACGTGGTATTTACATGCAATTATAATAAACTTTTTTTGACAAACTTGATTGCCGGAAAGAAAACAACTTTTGGGACGACTAAACAAGAGATCTTAAGGGAATATTTCCTCAAGAAAGTAAGATCACAGGCACATATGGGTCCACAGTACAGACTGCACTGGCTCTTCTCAATCATTTTTTTAGAATCCTTCTCTGGAAACAAGCGCAAAGGTAAACAAATATTCTTCGCATTTTTTTAGAATCAACTTGTGTGCTTGTTCACTTCACACATGGGCCAAATGAGTATTTTCTTGGGTTCCAGGGTTTGGTTTACTTTAGGGTATCAAACTGGTGGACTCCAAGATTCATCACGTCATCATGTCTCAATTCTATTTTGGTCGAAAGTCATGTCTCAGCTTGGTAAAGCCCATCAGCATATTTAAGCCTTTGGATCAGTCTCCTCCATATCTCCACAAAGCCCATACAAAAAATGATAGTCTTGTTCCATCTAACCATTACGACACATCAATTACGAGAGGTTATAATGAGAGGGACTTCGATAGTCGTATCAATTGTAGAGCTATTGTTATAACACCAACCCTCTCATTGTATAACTACCAAAAAATTGGAAGACACTAGTGAGGGTGGGTCTCGGATTAGAAATAGTAACTTACACTTTTTTCTCAATAAAATGAAATATGATATTGTCATACAATACAAGTAATGACACCGTTGTGTTTCACTGGTGAAAAATCCATCAACCCTAAGTCCTTAAATAGTTTAGATCTTCTCCACAAAACCTTTTAAGTGACATTGGCCATTTAAAATATTGGTGTCGCATTGATGAAAAAACCCTAATGATGAAGTTGATTGCCAAAAGTTCTTAATGCTCCTTAAATAATTTTGAGACATGCTAATGTAAGCCGTATGTGGCGTACATGACAATTCTCATACGTCGTATGCTGCTCACACTAGCATTTTCCAAAAGAAACAATTTCATCCAAAGGCAAAGCAACTAAAAAGAGAGAAAATCCCCTAAACATTTTGTGGTGGTATGGGTCCAAATTAATTTGATGTTGAGGTGGCACCTCATAATTGGACATTAAAAAAAAAAAAAAAAAAAAACTGTTCATTGAATAGCCGTACGGAATTCCATCCCCAAAACAAAACCCCCTTATCCTCTCCTCCCAAAACTTTTTCTAACAACCACTTGGCGCCATTTCTTCAGAAGGACACTGAAAGAAAGATCGAAAGGAGGCTGAGCAAACGACCATGCTCCGCGCACCACCTGATTCCCTTTTTCCGCTTCGTCACATTCACAAACCCAACTCACTACTCAGAACTCGGACGACTCGGTTTTGTTGCAAAGCAAGTCTGATCACAAACTCTGACTCGTTCGAGGTGGGTCGACTCATTGGGAGCTATGGCTTCATGAACATCACCAGGTATCCTTTTGTCAACGCTGCTTAACTTTCTGTTTGCTTTATAAGAAAATGAAAGGAAAAAAAACAAGAAGAAAAGTTTTCCATAGAGAGCTGCAGTGGTATGTCCTAATAAATAGGGAAGCTTTTATGAGATTTTTTTGGGGTCATAATGCCCTATGAATTTGTCTCTGTTTTGGGTTTTTATTTTTCTTATTAAACAATTGGAACGAAGCTTAGGTTGTTGATTGGGCAGTTATCAGTATTGTTGTTAATTAGAGTTAAATTTTATTTGATAGTTGTTGAACTTGCTTTCTGTGTTTGGTGGCCGAGAAATTGGAGGGGAAAAAAAAGAGCTGTATGTTCTTATTAATTTAGATAATCACCCTATGCTTGATTGATCTTTTGATAAGAAACCAAAGGGAAAAGAAGAAATTTAAATGGATAAATGTAGATCAACTTAAAAAAGAAAAATTCTACTTGGATTCATTGGTTTATACTTTATTAATACATTATTCTTTCTTTTATTTGATCTTATTTTTTCTCCTTTTCTCTGCCTGAAACAGCTCTTCGGGGTCTCCATTGGGCGAAGATACTGAATACTCATCGGGTGATTTGGGGCGGTTGAGAGTTCAAGATGTAGGAGAAGGCAGTGTAAAGATCAGGTACATTCTATAGGATATATGTATGGTATGCTTAGGCACACAATGACTGGTCCTATCAGTTTGAGGAAATTAGCTCAAAGGAAATCTATATTGTGAACAAGATATCTCTAAATTGTTGTCCTTCTGATGCTAATAGTACTCATGGCAGTTCTTTTGCAGGCTATATGATGGGAGAGTCTCTCAGGGTCCGCTGAAAGGGACTCCAGTTGTTTTTAAGGTAATATTGTTGTCAATGCCATCCTCTTTAGTTCGATTCACTTTTATAGGCTCATAATTTCTATTGAACAGTAACATTTTTAAGCATGAAGGTTTATCCTGGACAACGAGCTGGTGGGAATGAGGCGGATATGATGGCTGCTAATGAGCTAAATGCTCACCTATTCCTTCAAGTAATACAAGATGCTACTTAAATTACCTATAAATGATTGCATATGCATGCAACGTTTCCCAATTACTTACAATCAATATCAATACCAAAAGCGTTTCCTTTTCCTGTTTTTTAGTGTTGTCCTTTTGTTTTATGTTTTTCAGAACAGTTCAAATGGCATCTGTCAGAATCTTGCAATACTCGTAGGTGGGTTTGAAACGAAAACTGGAGAGCAGGTTTGTTATGTGAAATTATTTCTCAAGACTTTGCTTATACAAAGTGTTTATTAATTCTTTTGGTAGCGACAATGAATGAATGAAGAAATTTATCATGTGCAGTGGCTTGCTTTTCGTAATCATGGGAAATCTAGTGCCGCAGATTATGCTAAAGTTATGAGTGAAAAAGTGTCAAGAAACCGTGCAGCGGGAGTTTGGAATAAATTTGAGCAAGAGGAAACAATCAAACGCAGAAGATATTTTGTTACCAAGCTGCTTCAGGGTATTATGAGAGGTCTGGCTTACATGCATGATCATGACAGGTTGCACCAGAGTCTTGGACCAGCTTCTGTTATTCTGAAGTATGTTGCTTAGAGATATCTAATTTTGTTCAAGACAGTGCTTCATCTAAATAATTAGTTTATGAATTTTCTCTCTGCTATAATCTGCTCAAACTTTTCAATTGCTGGCAGCACAATTACAGAGAGAGATGCTGCTTACTTGGTCCCACGACTTCGGGATCTAGCCTTTTCTGTTGACATTGGGTATGCTAACTTTCATATAATATATTTGCTTTTGTAATATTTTTTGTATGTGTAATCTATGCGTAATCAAAATTTTGGTGCTTTGGCCAAAATTTCAATCCTTGGCCAAGTGATTCTTTGAATATTTTAATTGTTGAGGTCCTGTCTTTTAATCTACCAATGGACAAAGGAGGAGGTAACAAAGGAGCATGCAGAAGGAAATGTCGTTGTTGAGTCTCTTCAATTTATCAAAAGGAAAATAGTAATTTTTAAAGGTTAATTAATAATATTTTTAAAGTAAGGATATAAACGTGGAGTCAATTTTTTTTTTTACTCAACACTCCAATTAGTTTGTATAATCTAATTTATTTGTGAATCAAAATGCCATTACTCATTCATGATTCACTGCAGGTTACATTACAATTATCTATTTTATTAAAGAAAGGCATATGAGGATTTATTGAATAACAGCGGGTCATCTGTACCTTAACAGTTGCATATCCAAACACATTGTTTTCTAGGTATTCAAATCTAGAAGGGGATCCTGGATTACTATCAGAGGGACTTTGGAGACGAGCATCTACTGCCGGTGCCTTCACTCCTATGGAAAAAAGAGCCTTTGGAATATCAGATGACATGTAATTTGTTGCACTTTGGCTTCATTTCAGAAGTTCAAATCCACCTCATATTCATTACGCTATCTTTTTATGATCTCCATGCAGATATGAAGCAGGTCTTCTCTTGGCATACTTAGCATTTGTTCCATTCTGTGAAGCAGGCATAATGGACGGACTTTCCTTGCAAGTAAGCTATAATGTTACCATACCTTTTCTTTTGATTTTAGTTGATAGTTTCCTTTTTCTCGTATGAGTGATTGTTGTGGGAAAACGCAAAGTGGATACTTCTATGTTTGTGGTGGGTTGTAGATAGACAAAGTTAATAGTTGGTAGAACAACCTGAGAAAAAAAAAGAAAAAGAGTAGGGATTGGTGTAATGCAGAGACATTACAGAGAAAAATAAGGAGGAGAAAGTGTAGATGGAGATATCAAGGCAGCACTTCAACATCCTCCATTCTTTTCCAAATTGATATAGGACAACACAAGGTGGGTGCTACTTATATTAGGGTGTACTGTAGGTGGTACAAATTTTAGTAATTAGAAGAACTTTAGAGAAAAGAAGAAAAACTGCTAGGAATGCAGAGAAATTAGAGAGAGAAAATAAAGAAAAGAAGAGGAGAAATTATAGACGAAGATACTAAGGCAGCAAACCTTCGAATAAATACTTAAATCTGAAAAGAATCCACAAAATGCTAAATGACATTAAAGAGTTGAAGACTTGGAAAACTTACAGGACACAGTTTTCTAAACCCCAAATAGATTGACTCTTAAAACTATTGACATTGATTCTTAGGTTAACTGTTTGACTAACTCTTGAGTAACAATAGAAAAAATGAAATAAATGGTCCAACTCCCTTGATTACCATTAACAGTTCTCTTTGGGAAAAGAAGCTTCTAGTCACAAACTTGGGAGAATGAGTTTAGTATTGAGATTCCAATTTTTTTTTTTCTAACTCTGTTGTTGCTACTACATTAGTTATAGTGATATTCGCAAACAGGATATTTCTTTTCTAACCCTGTTGTTGCTACTATATCAGTTATAGTGACATTGGCTAGCAGGATATTTCGTTTCTAACCCTGCTGTTGCTACTACATCAGATATAGTGATATTCGCAAGTCTTTTACACATAATTGTTTATGTTGTGAACTTGCAGAGGCTTTTGGAGAGCACTTTCCAACTTGATCTTGGAGCAACAAGAGAGTAAGATATCATTGATATCATAAAGTGCTCATAATGATTATTAGTTCGTCTATATAATAGTAATAAACACTTCAAATTTTGTTTAAAGAACTTCCTTTACCTCTTGTAGGGGCTTCATACCTCACTATCTTTGTTTCTGTTGTTTAGGGCTTTGTTTTCATGGATTAGAGTTACTAAAATTACACATATGTGGTCCGGTATCACTGAAGCTTAATCACAATGATTTATAGGGTAAATTTAATGGTAGACAGACTACACTAGGATGAAGCATAATTTATCCATTGTGACCTGAACCTCATCAAGCCAATATATGAGTCACATCAATTATGAGTTAAAATTCCCATCTACGGCTCCTTTTTTAACGTTGAATATTTTTAGCCTGATCTCAGTTGTTCTACAGTCTGATCTGATGGAGCTACCATTTTCTGTATGTCCAATGGAGTCTTGTTACTAATCTGCTTTGTTGCTGAAATAATAGTTATGTTTAGGGAGATTTGCTGCACTACAATATAAAAGATGAACAATGCAGGGGTTAAAATGTATCAATGGACTGGTAAAGACTTTTAAACATTAATTATCTTTGATTCTTTGTCTTTATTTTTCATTGAGTCTATGTAGAATAAGAAAAAAGTGTGCTCGTGTTACATTTGTATTATACTTTTTGAATTTTTTCTTACTTTTAAAGTTAAGATCTTCTTTGCAGGTTTTGGGATGTTTCTACCTCAGGTGCTTATTTTCTTCCCTTTGACCCCTTTTGGCAGGTACTGTTTAGCAGATGACCGGCTATTAGATGCTGTGAAGTTCCTGGATCTTGGAGATGGTGCTGGTTGGGAGTTACTCCAGGTTGGGTTGTATTTTTTCTTTTTTCACAACTATATCTGCTAATCTCAGCATCATTTCAGCATATGATGAGCTAATATAGTCGAAGTTAGCATAAATAGATGATCTTTTTTGGCACTCACTTTAAACACTTAGGGGTCCGGGTGAGGATGAGTTTGAGAGAGAGGATGAGAGGGGAGGATGGGAGAGGGGAGTAACAAAAGTGAAAACAATTTGAAATAGACTTCAGTTTTTAGTTTTTGTTTTCACTTTGTTACTCATCCCTACCATCCTCCCCTCTCATCTTCTATCTCAATCTCATCTCCACTCTCATTCTCACTTCCATTCAACCTCTTTTTCCTCTATACTCTAACACAAAAAATGAAAACTAAAAACTAAAATTGAAATTGTTATCAAACGGGCCCTTAGTATATTTAGGGTCCTTTTACATATGCAATATGGTATCTTAGCATATCCTAAACAGTCCAAAGATACCATGTCGAAGAAAAGGTTACTGTTTTCCAGTCTCATTTTGGTGAGTAGAAGAAGATAGCTCTTTTTAGGCATTGAATTGGTTATACTGTTTGAGTAAGATACATCTTCCAATTGGAAGAAGCAGGAGGGGCTAGCATAGAGAAGCCTTTAGTCATTCAACGGAATGTAAGATATATCTTCCAATTGTCACTTCCATATTGTTTTATTAAAACAATGTTATTTCACTCGGTTGTAGGCAATGCTGAATCCTGACTTCCGCAAACGGCCAATTGCACAGGCTGTACTCAATCATCGCTTCATGACCGTGGGCATTCTTTGAGATTTTGGATAAAAAGATTTGATTTATAATGTATATTGAAAGGTAAAGGTACATGGATAATTAGATGAAGGCTTTCATTATTGATATGCCCCATGTGCTTTACAAAAAACCCCAATTTACCCCTTGTACTTGCAATTGGCTCACTTTACCCCCTGTGATTTATGCTCGTGTGCTCCGTTCCTATTCCGTCTAGTTCCTCACTTGATTTATAAATATTTATTGAAAGGTAAAGGTACGTGGATAATTAGATGAATATTAGTAGGAAACATAAGAAACCACAAAAGTTGAAGCATCATCTGCAATTCTATCTTAAATGTAGCAGTGTCATTAAATCACAGTGCAATTTAACGATAGGTATCAAGCCTAGGGATTAAAAACAGAGAGAATAACAGAGAGCAAGAGGAAAATTCGAGTATGATATTTCAGACTTGATTGTAGGGCCAGCCTGTACCACGTCTCATAAGGAAATAACTAATTCTTAGATTAGCTAGTGCTTTCAACGCACACACTCGAACAAATAGCTAGTGCTCTCAGCAATAACAGGATCGCCATAAAGAAGAAGACCCAACAAATGGTGGTTGTGAATCGACTGGGAAGACCACTAATTTCAACTTGTTTGACACTCCTTTTCTCTATATCATACCAAAAATGCCTATCAAAGTCTTCGCAGTCCACCTTCAACAGAACCCTTGCCATTCTTTGAAACCACCGAAGGCTTGCTTCTATAACCGCCCAGTGCCAGCTCTTCGGGGGAACTTATTCAAGCAAATATTTCTTCAATACATAAGAGTTAGGTTAGTCTTATAAAACTCTTTGTGGATTGAACATCTAAGGCTTTTTACCTAGATTGACCTTAGGTCTCTTCATGTATTCATATCACGCATGAAGAATTGCTTTATGTAAAAATATTGGCTAAGTATGAAAAATGATTTTTCGGAATAATCATTTTCTCAAGATAATATTTGGCGGCTTTTATTCCTTACACATCAAATAAGAAAACTTGATTTTATGGGATTTTAGTATGAAGTATATATTGACTTAATGAGTCATCATTTTTAGCCTAAATCATATTTTGCACTAAAACCGATTTTTCATATTTTGATTTGGTGAGAATTTGATTTTCTAGTATTTTTATTTGAATATATATGGGGGGTAATTCCTTATTTATATTATAAACTTAAGTAAATGAAGTAATATAAAAACAAATAAGGTAGCAACGCAACACACCGCAGCGTGTAATAATGCAACACAACACTGCACGCAACAATATAGTGTCAGCAAACTGACTTTGTTTAGGCTTTTCGTCGAACACCTAGAGTCCATCTCCCAAGCTGAGCAGAGGTGCAATATGCAGCATTATAATGCAACACAGCGCATCGCCCAACAACGCAGCGCGCAGCAACACAGTGCAGCACATCAGCAGATTGACTTCGTTTAGGCTTTTCATTGAACACCTAGAGTGCACCTCCCAAGCTGAGTTATGGTTTTTCCAATGAGGGGAGGTGCAGATGCCACTCTTTGCGCCTTAATAAGTCCGCTATTGCTGCGTTGGAGATGGGCTTTGGCAAACTGTTGGTCATGGATTGTGGCATTCCACGCTTTGGATACACATGTACAAGGATGTCGAAGACTAGATTCGATAGGAAGTCTGGCATGGCTGAAAGGCTCTTCAAAAGAAGTAGCTGCAAGCTGTTTGTGGTTCAAGTCATCAAGAGTATTTATAGCTTGTATAAAAAAATATTGGCCAAAAGTCACTTTGGTCCCTGTAATTTGGCACTTCAATCACTTTTGACCCTGTAGTTTCAATTTCGTCAATTTTGACCCTATAGTTTCATATTTGTAGCAATTCAAGGACAAGTTAGTATTCCTATCAATTTCTTTGATGATGCAAGAGGCAATTTCGTCAACCCAAAATCCTTGAGCATAAAAACTCGTCTAAAACTCTCCAAATTTCAAATTAGGGCTTGAAATTGGTCATTTGGGTTTGTTGAGGCCCAAAATGTTACGAGAAGCCCAAAGGTGTCTTAAGCCCAATATAACATACAATAATTGCTTCATGCTAACCCAAATTGTATTTTGGGAATTAATTCATTAATTAAATATACAAATAATGTACATGCCATGCCAAGCAAATAATACATTTTCTTATGCTAAACCACCCGACAAGCTTAAGTGGGCCCAAGCCACATATATGCCTGGGGCTTGCTGAGCGGGTTGTGGTGTGGATGGTTACAAGGATCCATGAGGCCCACTAAAGATTCAAAAGAATTGAGGTTTTGGGCTGCTTGGGAGCCCCAAAACCCAAGCCCATTTTCTTGAGCCCGTTGAATGGGTAAGCAGAGAGAACACGGCCAACCTTGCAGCATTAAATCACCAACCCTCTTCTACCAGCATAAAAGCCAAAGCTATCACGCATTTTCCTCGAGCACTTAACCTACCAGTATTAAAGCCCAGCTTTCACCGTCTCAACGATCCTCATTAAAAGCCTTAACCTACCCATATGTCCAACACCTCTCTCATACGACACCAAACCAACCATACGGCATTAAACAAGCACCCAACACCAGAACCAGCAAACAACTCCTCTTAAAACCAACTACCCGGCACCTACATAGAATAAAGAAGCCTTGTCATCTCAACTGGGAGACAAGGGTGCATAGCCAGAGTAGCATGCGCAACCACCTTGATGTTGGAGCAGCATGCATGCATAGATAGGAGAACTCCCAAGGCCTATAAAAAGGGGAAGAACAAAGGAGGCCTTAAAAACACACAACCGGGGGGACACCCAAAAACACCCAAGCTTTAGCCATTCCAAACCCAGAAACAACAACCGTTCTTGCTGTCATACCCTTGCTGCGTGCTCACCCCAAAACACCCCAAGCTTCAGCCATTCCAAACCCAGATACAAGCCCTAGCTATCCCAAGCTTAGACATACCAAACCAAGCAGAGGCAAGCTTATCCTCCACTTTCCAGAAAACCCATTGCTGTAAACACACAAAGCCCAAGCCTTCCTCCATCATACTTATCTTCTTTTATAAACCACTCCAAGCTATAAACATCCTCCAAAAACTATCTCAAGCCATCCCAAAACCAACCAACATAGAACAAGCCATAGTCTCACCGCTGGAAAACACTCAAGCTTAACCCAGAAACTATCATCTTCTTCTGCCGGCAACCAGAAACCATTTCAAGCCCTAAAATGTCTTTTATCCAGCATCCCATTTCAACTCAAGCAAACGCTCTCTCTTGCTAAACTCATGGAGACTTAGCTCCCACACCGCAAGCCTCTCATGCCAAGCTCTTCCATTTTAATTCATCGAAACGTGCTCTCATGCCAAGCTTGTATATTCTCTGTACAACATGAACTCTTTCCGGAGCCATCTCACACCGTTCCATGAGCTGCCGTATGTTTTCCATCAGCTGCTGTATGCCATCCCAGCTGCCATGAACTCCGTCTTCTTCGAACATCTCCTCCAGCACTACCCCACTACCTGCAACACATACTCCACCTCAAGAAAGGCACTTCCAATACAACAAAATCAAGCAAAATCATTCCAGAACCTGTTATACATCTCAACCTGCAAGCAGCCACTGAAGATGACCAAAATATTCCCTAAGAATCAGCATTCTTTCGGGATATTTTAGGGCCTAGTCCTCGAACCCAGGCAAAGGGGCAATGTCACTCTTTCTTTACAGCGGCCCAAGTCCACCTAGAGCTATTGTAACAAAAAGACCCCCACAGGGTTCAGGGTTTTTCAAAAATTGGGATTAATGGTTGAATTTTGAGCCCTAATATGAAATGGGGAGAATTTCAAACAAGCTTTTATGCTCAAGGATTTTGGATTGACAAAATTGCCCCTTGCATCATCAAAGAAATTGACAGAAATACTAACTTGTCCTTGAATTGCTACAAATATGAAACTATAGGGTCAAAATTGACGAAATTGAAACTACAAGGTCAAAAGTGGTTGAAGTGCCAAACTACAGGGATCAAAAGTGACTTTTGGCCAATATTTTTTGATACAAGCTATAAAAATAAAAACAAAAACAAAAAGCCATGAAAAGTGCTTGCGCACCTTTTTTATTGAAAACTTTACTCAGTGGGTCACGGCCAAGTCAAAACATAGCCCAACAACCCATTTAGGCCCAATAAATAACGGGGCGGACACGGGTCAAAATTATTTTACCTGCCCTAAAATTAAAATACGATCCAAAATCAAGCAAGCAAAATACCAGCGAGAGAGAGGGAGAGAGAGAGAGATGCAGAAGAGGGAGCAGAGCAAGTCGGGTGGAGTGGGTGGCGGGGCCTCGGCGCCGCCGGCGAAAAGAGGCCGCCCATTCGGAAGCGGCGGGAATAGCGCCGCAGCTGCGGCTGCC